GGGACAATATCCACCAAATCAAATAGCTTGCTCTACGGCATCATTCAGTCAAATGATCCTAAAAACAGCCAAGCAATCAACAAATCAATATGACAATTCAACAATAGCTAACACAAACTAAGCTCACATGATACTGACTATCATCACTGAACCCTCAGATAACACTCAAACTCAGCAACAAATAGCAGTTAAATACAAAGAAATAACAAACTATTCAAACAACGTCTGACTCAATCACTTTACCCACAACGACTAACTCCCCTAAATTAGACCAGCTAAAAACCTGCACCAATAAAACAATCAGCCAGATATAGGAGCTCACCAAACTCAACCCTCATGAGCACAAACAATCCCTCCTCACACACAGTCCTAATATAAGAGCTCAGCATCACTAAACCTACCATCCCTAAGAACCTGCATTAACAAACTATGAGAGACACGGAATAATATTGCTCCATTCACTCAACCCACAACCTCACCCTCTCACACAATATTTATGGGATAGCCTCACATCACTCAACCCACACATCCACAAATTAGCCAGCTCTCCACCCAGAACAACCTGCAAACTAACAGCAAGACTAGAAATAGTGACAGGCAAAGACCTGCCCTTGATATTAACAGCCAACCCAAGCAGTATATCCTGCCATGTGATATAAGTATGACATTTCCAATACAAAATAAGTATGACATTTCCCATATTATGTGCACAATTCATATCCTCAACCCCATTATTGACAACAAAACAATTACAAGATAAGATAAGCCAAAAGCTAGAACTAAATAATAAGCCACAACTTAAACAATGTAGACTAATCCAAGTGAAAACACAACCTGAAGATAATGTGTGAAGATACTTACCAATGTTGGTTGTTCCTAATGTCCTAATTTTCCCCTTGTTCCATAACCCCTTTCATGGGTTTGTCTCCTGGGTCTCTTACTATATACTCTTTGTATATCTTGCGCTGCTGCACGTACGACTCCCTCACCAGCTTCTGTAGAAGCTGGCAGCACATCACCAATGGGTGCAGTACAATCATTTGATACCACCTCCGGCAAACCTTCACATACAGCACTAAGCTGTGAAACGCCATCATCGGCTGCATTATTGTCATGGTCTATTGCTCGGCGTCGCCCTCGCCTTTGGCCTCTACTTACACCACGACGTCCGCCACAACCACTACCCCTACCTGTCCCTCTGGTAGGTGCATGGACCTGGCCCTCCCCCTCCCCGTCAATGTGGAAGTCATGGGTAATGAGTGGATCAACATGGTAGGTGAAGGTTATATGTGGTGTAGGAGATGATGGTGGGGTAAGAGATGATGGTACTGTGAAAGGGTTGGGTGCTGTCAATGTCGACGCAGAGGGAATCACAGTAGACAGACATGTATTAGATAGTGGTGCTAAAGGAGTCACCGGGGTACCAACCGCTATCCTATATGGGGGTGGTGACCAGGAGGGGTCCAATATATGGCCATGGTGTGTGTAAGTATGTTTGGACATTAGAGGATCTACCTCAGGGACAAACTGGGATGTGTAATTGGTACATTCAAGTGGGGAAGTCGGCGGTGTACATATTACTGTAGATGGACCATGAGAGGACAGACCCATGGAGGGCCCCTCACCAAAGTGTTCCATATCAAAATTGTCCGATTGATGTGCTTGACGTGGGGTAGGATGCGGTGGAGGCATTGATGTCGATGGCATTAATGTTGATGGCTCAATGGATGGCATATTCGGGTGCAGCATTGATGTCGCTATAATATCTACTCCCATATAAGGATCCTCGCCAAAGTGGCCAAAATCTATTCGGTCACGTCGGTGTGCCTGTTGCAAACTATCGTACAATAACTCCCGTATTTCAGCAAGGGCAGCCAATGCCTCTCTACCATCGCGTGTAATATGGGAAACGTCTGCCACGTGATATGCCCTCGCAACTCTACGAACCTGTAATGTCATGGTAGTTGTGTTACGTAACCATCGATGCCAAATAACAAACATACACAAACTTAAGCAAATGTTGTTTTCGAGAATATAAAGAACTTACCAATCCCTCTAAACTACCCCCGATGCCTTGGTATCTGAAGGCAGCAATGTCACTCAGATTACTCAGTACTAGACGTGTATGACAGCGAAACCATAACATGTATGGGTCAGAAGATGTAAGCACTTCATTGCTCCTCTCAGCATGGACAACGATGTTACGTCGGTTGTTCCACTCATCCATAAACGTCTGGTATTCCTTTGCCCAATCAAAGTAACTCAATTATTTCAAAATAATAAAGTAAGCACATTTGAGCGCAAACACCACATATATTACACAGGAGTGCCTTTAGGCATGGGTCTTTTGGTATTATGAAATATTTAAGTGGCATATTGACGTGAACATGGAAATGAAAGTTATTTGCTCCATATATAATAGCATCCTATATGACTTATATTTCTTGTATTATTTCGAAGGATTATCTATTTGTACATTTAAACAAAAAATCATGTGTGGGATCATTTCTCCAATTATCATAAATTAACATTTGAATTCTTTTGTTGTGATTTGTGATGATTTCTTCATCCCTTCTTACGAGCTTATGTTTTACTTTACTCTTTGTTTTATGTTGTTATGCTTTCCCTTAAGTATTACTGTTATTTTTTTTAATAATTTTTTCAATTAAAACTCTTTTTTGGGGCTTTCATGGGTGGGTGTTTTCAGATGCTTCGAAAGAACCTTTCCATATCTTTAATCGACATTTTGTTCAGGTTTATCAAACCCGTTTTCGTCATGTGTTTCGTGTGTAGTTGCTTTCATACTTTGATTTTTTTAATTTCACATTCTATGAAATAGCATGCACATACTGTAACAACTCTTCCCACAACATCATTGTGTGCGCCATAATTTCTCATTTCATCTTCATGTATTGAACCATCCATGTATGACATTATAACCAATAGGCCTTTCATACAGAAAAACTCTACTAAACTAATTCGTCATACTATAAGAACCTAATTTACAAGCCCTAATTTTTCATGCTATAACAACCTAAGAACTTCCAACAGGAAAATCCTAAATTGTTCACAAGTTCAAACTCTAAACTACCATGCCCACAATTGTTCAGTCTGAAACAATAATATAAAATATTCAAATTCTAACTTTCCATGAAGAATAAAAGGTATCTTGCCTTCTGAAAACATAAACACATTAAGCTTTTGGGTCAATCGCTAATCTAATAGATTCATGTAGCTACATATAATCAATTCACGCATGGAGTTACAACACCTCAGTTTAGAAGAAGCTCTGAGGATTGTTGAATAAACATTTGTTTTCTTAACTCCGTTTGATTGGGCTAATTACATTGATAAAGAGGTTATCTTTGCAACTTGGTAAAGTAAATGCCAGTCAAACAGATGCCAGGTCAAGTGCAAATCAATGACACATAGACCCTTTGAACTTCTTTTGACTAAAAATCACTATAAGAATTAAGACCAACGAAAAAATATTTTTTGAGGCTTTATTGTGATAACAAATTAGCTAGCAATTATGCTCGTAGTCTAGAAAACATGCAGGAGCAATGCACCGATTGTTTATTTTTCCATCCCTACTGTTACAAGAATTTCGCAATTTCTTTTAATATATTTTTCTTAAAATGGCAAACCCCTTTATCCAACTAAGCATTCATAACACTCAACATGTTCAAGTTTTTGTTTTTGTTTTTTGTTCAAATTCAGAATTTATTAACATCAATAAAACTTTTTGTTTTTGTTTCCAAATATTTTCATACACTTTCAAATCCTTTTGTTATTTCTCATGTTTTTGAAACATTTGAAAAAGTTTCCAATTCTATTTTCATTTCCAACCTAACTGAAAGAACGTACTGAAACGAAATTTTGATCCTATTAGAGAAGACAGGAAAATTATCACATTTTAATAACAACAGTTGATTTCTTTAACATCAATTTATAACTCAAGTTTGACATCACATATGCACACCCCTACAGTACCACCGAACAAAGTACTAGCCAAAATTAACAAAAAACAAAAAATAATGGAAAAAAAAAAAAAAAAAACCTGATCATAACAATTATGTTGACGGTTATAGATAAAGGGCTTACCATTATAAGAAACATCAATACACTGAAAAACTAATGCACAAAATGATGACAAAAAAAATAGCTACTTACTGAAGCAAATGTAAAGCATAGAGTATGAAAGACCAAGATACCTTATATCCAACGTAGTATCTGCAGCCCCAAGAATACAAATAAATCAGCTTCGACAATGTTGCAAAAACTCAAATAAGGATGTAGCCCATCTCACAGCACAAAAACGTACTTCACTTTGTTCCTTGCAAAATGAAAAATGGTTTACATTGGGGATCAAGAAGCTTATGGTGGAACCAGATTTGTGTGTTGCAGAATAATGACAAAACCATCATCCTAAATTCAGAGAGAGACAGAGAGAGGAGTCAAACAACAGATACAGAAGGTGACCAGACTATAAATGAATTATACCAGTTGAGAATTTATCAGCAGAAGTGCCTCCAAATCCTTGAAGACAGTTGTGGGTGCATCCTGATACTCAGGCAAGAAACCAATTAAAAAAGAATTCACTACGAAACAGAGAAAGAACCAAAACAAAAAGACCACTTCACATATACAGTGCAGAACAAAGCTAGAATGTCGAAGTAAATTGTACACATTTACATGTAAAAGACGACAAATACATCCATATCTTTTATCTGAAATTTTATTCACTTCCATGTAATTGAGCTTACATGAAAATGTTTATTCAATACAATCAGAAAAGAAAATTGTAAACAACATCATAAACAAAAAACGAGTGAATTGAGATACAGAAAAGTGAACTGAGATACAAAAAATTGTAAACTATATCTTACGAATAACAAAATTTGTACCTTTTCAATAACCTAGTTTCAGCAATCCCTAATTTCGAAATTTAAAATCCCAAATCTGAAATGAAAACCCTCATTTATGCGATACAAACCTGAATGTGGGGACAAAAGGAGGAAGCCCGTAAAATTCATTGGACTAACTGGAAGCATTTGTGCAAATCTAAATTGAGTGGAGGGATGGGGTTTCGCTGCCTTAATGAATTTAATAAAGCTATGTTGGCCAAACAATGTTGGCGACTTGTGAAACGGCCTCACTCGTTGATTGCAAGGGTGTTAAAAGCCAAGTATTTTCCTCACACTTCGTTTCTTGATGTATTGCTTGGAAGCAACCCATCTTTCACCTGGAGGAGTATAGCGGGTGCTCGACATTTGCTTAATGCTGGGTTGCGATGGCGAGTGGGAAACGGTGAGAGCATTTCGGTTAAGTCTGATAAATGGGTTCCCCGGCCTCATACTTTTAAGGTCATTTTGCCACCTTCCACTCTCCCGGACAATGCAAAGGTTAGTGAGTTGATTGATTCCCAACTTGGTATCTGGAACTCTGAGCTTCTTAATCAACAGTTTCTGGGCGTTGATGGTGAAGCTATTCGATGCATCCCTATCTGTCCAACATTACCCCCGGATAAATTAGTTTGGCATTTTACGCGAAATGGTGAAATTTCAGTGCGATCGGCGTATCATTTGTGTGTGGATATGGGTTGCTCGGATGGCCTTGGTGTCACCTCCGATGATGGTCTGTCAAAGAAGCAGTTTTGGACTGCTCTATGGCAGTTGCAGATTCCGACTAAAATCAAGATATTTGGCTGGAAAATGTGTCTTGGGTTGTTACCGGTGTGAGCAAATTTGCGAAAACGACATATCGTGACTATGGATTTATGTGAGTCGTGTGGTGATGAAGTGGAAACCGTGAGCCATTGCTTTCATAATTGTTGGTTTGCACGGCAAGTTTGGATGTCCAGCTCGATTTCGGTGGTCCTCAACGTTATGCCTGTTAATAATTGTTTTCAGTGGGTTTGCAATCTTATGACAAAGTATGATATGAAGTTGATGGCTTTATTTTTTACTATTTGTTGGGGTTTATGGAATCAGCGGAACTCCATTCTCTTTGAACATAAGGTAAGAACCATAGATGATGTTGTGGCTTTTGCTGAGAAGTATGTAACAGAGAATGCTCAAGTTCACCAATGCAACCAAATTCCAATGCATCATCTGCGGGTTCGAAGGTGGGTTGCACCACAAGAAGGTGTGTTTAAATTGAATTTTGATGGCTCAGTTCGGAAGACCCAAGCACTTGCTGGTATTGGGATTATTGTTCCTGACAGTAATGGGTTGGTTATTGCTGCTATGGTTGAGCAAATTCATTATCTGGAAGATGTGGATTGTGTGGAAGCTTTGGGTGCCGTTAAAGCGCTTCAATTTGGATATGACTTGGGGTTGGATAATATTCAGCTTGAAGGAGATTCTTTCAACGTGGTGTCTGCAATTCAAGGAAAGACAGAAAATTTGTCGTGTTATGGTCATTTCGTAGATGTGGCTCAGGCACTCCTCTTGCAGTTCCATTCCTCATCCATCTCGCATGTTTATAGAGATGGCAATTCTGTGGCTCATTGTTTAAGTAGGTTAGCTTTTGATTTTGATTCACGTCGCATTTGGATGGAGGAAGTTCCTCCCTCTTTAATGGCGTTGGTGGCTTCGGAGGCTCCCTCTTCTTTGTAATTGCTTTTCCTGTCTAAAATAAATAAATAAATAAGGCTTTTCAAAAACCGTTTTATGATAAAATTATTATTTTAGGCAAACAATATTTATAAATTGGGAATTTTTTTTTAATAAAAATAAAAATGGTTTTACAAAAATTATTTTATATAAACACAAAATTAATTACACGTTAATTAAAAACGGTTTTTCTAAAGCCATTTTTATGAAGGAAAATTTTATTATTTTTTTATTCATCAAAAATGGCATTGGCAAAACCATTTTGAAGAAAACGGCTTTACCAAAACCGTTTCATCCTATATTGGGAATAAAGTAAAAAACACACCCTAGAGTGGGACTAAAATATCGAGAATGTCACAGTCAGGGAAATTGGCCCCTGTTAATCGATTTCCCACTTGTACTGCGACAATGAACCCTCGATGTGTCAACGGAGCTGCTCTCTCAGCGCTTTAAGGCCGTGTTTGCCAATATGATAAATTCATTGACATAAATGTGGAGATTATACAAGCAGCATGTAACATATTTTAATTTGAGATCTTGTGTCAGATTACTTGATGCAATTTTTACTTAAAATTTATTAGGTAGAAATGATTTAATAAATTTTAAAAAAAATATTTTCTAAAAGTTGTGTGATGTATGCTTTTAATTTTTACTTTTTGATTATCAACTTTTAATTTAAAATAATCTCCACCAAACCTCTCAAACCAAAGCCATGTTTGCCAATAGTGGATTAATGTTGTTAGGGTCTGTTTGGTTTTGGTTGATTTTGTGAAAGAGTAATGTTAGAGATCCACGCTTTCAAACCCACAAGCCACTTACAATGACGTGGTAGGGAGGTGGCCCCTAAATGATTGGATGTGTAATAAATTAGAAGTTGACAAATATAATACCACATCGTTGTGGATACAATTGCGAAGGTATTTTGTGAGTTTTAAACATTTTCCTTTGCGAAAATTGAGTTTTTTGTTTTTTTTTTTGTTTTTAGTGAGTTTTTTTAATATTTTCCATTATTTTTTTATTTTTTAGATGCACCTAATCTAAGTGCACATAAAAAGTAAAATATTTGTGAAAAAATATTTTAAAAATTCAATAAATACACAAATATACTGAATTTTTATATAAATATTTTTTGTATTTTGTGAATTTTTTAAAGATTTTTTTTCATAACTATTATACTCTTAAAATGTATCTAGGTTAAGTATATTTAACAAGTAAAAAAACTTGCTTAAAATATTTTTAAAAATTATTAAAAACAAAAAAATACAAAAAATAAAAAATTCAAATTACCGAAAAGTGAGTTAAACTAAACAAAATATGATTAATTCAATAGGATTGAATTAGTTTTTGATTTAGAATTACTTACATCAAGCTAATCTGAAAGCCAAACTTATTTAATTCAACAGATTCCATTAACTAAAATATAACAAAACAAGTATGGAACAAAAGAATTTGTTCGTAATAGATTGAACTAAATACAAGCATTTTTTATTTTATTTTATTTTAAACATGAATTCAAATAGAATAAAAGAAACATGAATATGATAATCTAGGACAAATTGCAACCAAGATGGTTGCATTTGTCTTCATGTTATATGATATTTTCATAGATGAAATCCAAGAGCTCAGTTGTTCTATTCATCTTTCACCTGACATGGTGTTTCTCAGGCATATATATCGATAGAAAAATATATTGCCATATTTTATTTCAACTCAGAATTTTAAATCCTTTAGCTATTGAATACAATTATCTTAGAATGTTTGTACGACAGTTATTTGTGTATGATGTGAAGATTGATAGTTGGGTTGATCAAATATGGTTAATAATATTAGATTAAACCAACAAAGAACTAAAGAGCATTAGCTAGAGTGACCAAAAATGGCAATCACATATGCATATTTGATTTGTATGTGTTAGCAGATATTTTAATATTATAATGTGTTATAGATTATATTGTGTACTTGGGCTCCAAGTAACTTAATCTCCAAGCTACCTTTCTTTGACTCTAAAAAAAGTTTATTTCTCTTTTTTTTTTCCTCCAAGTATTCTTGCCCTCTAAGTAACTTTTATCTTTTCTTTTCCTCCAAGTATTCTTGCCTACCAAGTAACTCTTATTTTATTTTATTTTCTTTTCTTTTGCCCAAGTTTTCCTCTCATATTAATTGAGCTAACCTCTTATCTTTCCTTGGAGGTAGTTTATCACCTGAACCTGAAAATGATGTTCCTATGAAGGGTGAGCCACAGCCCAGTAGAAAAATACTAAACCACATATAAGCAATGAATAAAGCAATAGCATTCAACAGATGGTTAATCAAGATAATCAATTACTTCATTTTACAGTCTCATGACACTATTGTCAAACACACGTTTACTTTCCAATTTTATCAACATGGCTCAGAACCTGGCCAAACTTATAACAGTGAATTATATATATCAATTTCACATTCTCCCAATATCAATAACAAATGAGACTCAAGCTCAATTCAAAACACTTCATACTTCCAGATTGATACACATTTTAGTGCTGTATCAATAAAACACTTCTATATAAATAAGCACACATAAAAGTGATGCTAATGGAGTCCATCCCCTATCTCCTTTCAAACAAAATCCGGTTTAGAGGTTCATCCCCTATCTTCCCCTAAACCGTGGAGTACATCCCCTATCTCCTCCCACACAAAACAATGTATGCATATGCAATGCTCAATCAATACACGTATATTCTGTATCAATGCAATAGTCAAAATTAATGACTTAACCAATGTGATTAGTTTCAGTTATTTCTAATCCACATGCAATGTCTACAACAATCACGACTATCCTCCACCGATAGCCCAAAACAGTTATTTCTAGACTGAAGATAACCATGTCAACAATTCAAAAGACAAATAATTCAAATGATCCAACTACGCCATTTAATCAATGATTTCCCCAATTTCATGAATTAACTATACAATTTAATTTATTAATAAAACTAGGGTTTTTCCCAAAATTTACCAAAGTAACCCCAACATGTTAAAACACCAAAACTTAGAACAAAACCTATAAAATGGAGTAGGAAATCCCTACCTCGAAGAAGACAACACAAATGGTGAAGACAAAGATGAGTGCCCAAATACCAAAGTGCTCCAAATCGCCAAATGTTCAGATTAAATGAAAGCCCTCGACTCCCTCTATATATTTAATAAAGCAACTAGGGTAGAAACACACCCTAAGTGGATCAAATCTAAGAAAGAAGGTGAGTAGGGAGAGAGAGAAGTCGGACCCAGGGTTTGGAATCAAAAGAAAATGAAAAAGACTGATCAAATCCCGCTGCTGTGTATATAAACTGGACAGGCTCGCTCGAGCGAAGACTTGGTCGCTCGAGCGACCAGACACAAGAAACTACGCTCGAGCCAAGGAAGCCTTGCTCGAGCCAGCAACCCAAACGCTCGCTCGAGCGAAAGAAAACTCGATCGAGCGAAGAACTCAAACCCTCAGGTCTGAACCCAGACATACGCTCGAGCGAAGGAACTATAGCTCGAGCGAATGATGAACTAACTCGCTCGAGCGAAGAAAAGCTCGCTCGAGCCAAGAATGCAAAGCTACAGGTCCATACAGGACGCCATCACTCGCTCGAGCGACCAAACCCCAGCTCGAGCGAAGAACCAAAACGACATCTCGCTCGAGCGACCAACTCCTCGCTCGAGCGAAACACCAAAACCCTGGACAGCAACACTTGGTTTCTAAACCCAACCAACCTGAAACAAACCTGCCCAACACATCCTATAATTCCAAAAGAGAAAATAAAGGACAACAACAACAATTATACAATGACAGAATCTACGGAACCTACGTCCGGATACAATAATCAAATGGGAAAAGACCGGGGTCGCTATAAGAATATTGAAATCTATATGGAGATGGTCAAAAATTGTTGTCGATTTTTCCTGCTGCAATAATTTTGTTGATTATCGACAATAGTTTACTCTTTAAATTAGGATTTGCCTTAGGTCTATGCATGTTGGCTTTGATTGAACGTTCATTAATTTCTACTTAAATAGCGAAGTGAGTTTGTAGTTGCCAATTCGATTTACATAAACATGCTATTTATATTAATCTTGTTTTTTTTTTTCCTTTTTTGTTTTTTAAGTTTTGTAGATTCCTCTGTTTAATTTTGATTCTACCTAAGACATTTTATTACCATATGTCATTTGCCTATCCATGTTTAGAAAATCATGAAGACACTTGTTAGCTTTGTTTTTTATCTTAATGTTCTTGGAACCTGTATGTCATCCATAATTTGTGTTCAATTGCTCCAAGGGTGTGGGGTGGCTGTTGTGCGGGGCACAGCAGCTGTAACAACCCTCACCTTACTCGTCTTACTTGCATACATTCCTGCATGATCTTGTCTTGTTTTAATAATTGGAAGGATTTGTTTGCCTTGTTTTGTTAGTATTACTTGCGTGATCTTGTCCCTTGTTCGATGTGTGTGCTGCCTTTGACCCTTTGTACTTAGAACTATCTTGAGATCTTGTTCAACCCCATCTTCACCTCGGGCATTCATTGCCGAGATGTTTTGCACTTTCCATTTCCTTGTTACAGTTAGGCCTATTTGCATGCATTGCTCTCAAACTTCCAACTCATACAATTTTCATAATTTCTTGAATTCCAAATACATGACTAATACATGGATGGTTTTGGTTGATGGAAACTCCATTTCCTTGTTACAGTTAGGCCTATTTGCATGCATTGCTCTCAAACTTCCAACTCATACAATTTTCATAATTTCTTGAATTCCAAATACATGACTAATACATGGATGGTTTTGGTTGATGGAAACTCCATTTCCTTGTTACAGTTAGGCCTATTTGCATGCATTGCTCTCAAACTTCCAACTCATACAATTTTCATAATTTCTTGAATTCCAAATACATGACTAATACATGGATGGTTTTGGTTGATGGAAACTCCATTTCCTTGTTACAGTTAGGCCTATTTGCATGCATTGCTCTCAAACTTCCAACTCATACAATTTTCATAATTTCTTGAATTCCAAATACATGACTAATACATGGATGGTTTTGGTTGATGGAAACTCCATTTCCTTGTTACAGTTAGGCCTATTTGCATGCATTGCTCTCAAACTTCCAACTCATACAATTTTCATAATTTCTTGAATTCCAAATACATGACTAATACATGGATGGTTTTGGTTGATGGAAACTCCATTTCCTTGTTACAGTTAGGCCTATTTGCATGCATTGCTCTCAAACTTCCAACTCATACAATTTTCATAATTTCTTGAATTCCAAATACATGACTAATACATGGATGGTTTTGGTTGATGGAAACTCCATTTCCTTGTTACAGTTAGGCCTATTTGCATGCATTGCTCTCAAACTTCCAACTCATACAATTTTCATAATTTCTTGAATTCCAAATACATGACTAATACATGGATGGTTTTGGTTGATGGAAACTCCATTTCCTTGTTACAGTTAGGCCTATTTGCATGCATTGCTCTCAAACTTCCAACTCATACAATTTTCATAATTTCTTGAATTCCAAATACATGACTAATACATGGATGGTTTTGGTTGATGGAAACTCCATTTCCTTGTTACAGTTAGGCCTATTTGCATGCATTGCTCTCAAACTTCCAACTCGTACAATTTTCATATCTATGCATCCCAAATTAGATCTGGTGAGAGAATTACTTATCCTTAAAGAAAATTACATGATCTAAGGATAATAAAGCATGGATTGATTATCTTCAAGGAGATCCTTCATCTGATTCTCTCAACTAAGGAGAATGTAATATGTACATGAATTGCAATGAAAACATGGACCTAGTATGTTGTATTAATGGTCCTTACTCATAGGGTCTAGTGTAAACAAATGTGTTTCATATACTAGATATGTTTGGATACGATTCTTTCAACCCTTTGTCTTGCCTTTTTCCTTTTACCTTTGAATTGGTGTTTCAGTGTTTTATTCATTTAAAGGCTTTTTATGTCATCTGAGGAAGGGAAATGGAAAAAACGCAGTAAAAATGATGGTTGTAATCCATTTTTCTCTTCAAAAGAATTGTTTTTATTAGAGTGGCTGAATAGTGCGGGAGCATTTTGCCATTTTCTTCTAAAACAAAAGTTCATGTAAAGGCTTGGAGTGTTCTCTAGTTTAATCGAATAAACTCTTATTAAACATTCCACCCTTTGTGATTTTCATCTGTCTTGGTAGTTGGATCATCTTTCAACTTCATTGTACCTCTAAATATTTTGTTAGTTACTATGATCATCACATGTACTCCTGTTGTGGCCTTTGGTTCTATTTGTTTGTGTTCATCAATGAGGATTCAGCGTTGTTTTGGTCACTACAAAGAATCTGGCAGTTGATTTGGGAAGGAGGCTTTTTAGCTTTTTTTGGCTAAAATAACACTAAAAGACAAAATATGTTAAAATAGCTAATAAGACAAAATGTCACATTAAACTTATAATCATTTCACTTTTTCTCTCACAAACATCATATCCAACTACTAAAAAATCCAATCATCTTCCTAAACACAAAAATTTTAGCCTACTAAAATAGTCAAAAACTAAAATAGCCTACTAAAATAGCAACTTCCCAAACGAAGCCGTAATTTCTTTTTTAAAAAATGATGAATTACACTAATAGTCCCTATAGTTTGAGACTTGTGTCACTTTGGTCCCTGACTATTCAATTATGACACATTTGACCTTAAATTTTGAATCTTGTTCTAAACAAGGACAATTGAAGATATCATTAAATTTTTCAAGGGTAAAATTATTAATTTGATAAAATATAAACTAATTTGACAAAAATAAATGTCAACCAAATACTTTCGAATTTTTAAAAATTATTTCTATCCACTAAAAATAAAATTATGTAAAATTGATAAATCTTTTAGATATTTATTTATTTATTTTACCAAATTAATTTTTATTATGTGTTTGAATGATGATCATGTAAAATTAATTTTAGAAAATTAATCACGTAATTTTTATTAATTTTTATCAATTTTACATAATTTTATCATTGGTGGATAAAAATAATTTTTTAAAAATTAAAAACAGTTTTTGACATTTATTTTTGTCAAATTAGTTTATATTTTATTAAATTGACGATTTTGCCCTTGAAGTTAAACAATGATATCTTCAATTGTCCTTATTTGGAACAAGATTCAAAATTCATGGTCAAATGTGTCTCAATTGAAAAGTCAGGGACTGAAGTGACACGAGTCCCAAACTATATGAACTATTTGTATAATTTGCCCTTTAAAAAATGACGAAGTAAATAGAATGGTGCTATTAGCACCCTATCTATTATTTTGGACCCTTAATTTCTTTGTACCCAACTTATAAATTTTAAAACCCTTAAAATTTCTTTGCTCCCCCAAATAATACCAAAATTATCCTTATGAAAACATTACACTCATTCAATTGAATGCACACCCCTCACACCCTAAAAAAAATCTCTTCCAAAAACCCGAACAAAACCCACGACGAAGAAAAAGAGCCAAGTGTGATTATTGTCTCTATTCTTTCTCTCTCTCTCTCTCGCTCTCTCTGTGCCGCCTCATCCTTTTCTTCGGTGATCAATATTAGGTTACCCGTTCCCGAACAAATAATAAATGTTCGGTTATCAATTCTTGAACAAATAAACAATATTCGAGTCTATGTTCCCGAATTTTTGTCATATGTTCAGGAGTTCAGTCCAAAAAAAATGATGGACTGATTTTATTATTTTTGACATTTTTTTTTTAAAGAAACTTATCATTACAAAGCCAATCTTCTCTGAGTTAAGAATACCATCGAAGTTATGAACTTCCTCTGAACTTTTATTGTTGTACTCCTCGCGTTTTATGGAGTTGTGGTTGTCAAAAAAACTTCCACTCATTATCATTACCGGAGAAGTGTAGATAATCAAATGGTTGCTACCGTTATCATTGGAATATTGCCGTTAAACGGTTTTCAAAGTTTTGAGGATGGGTAAGTTTTGAAGGTAAAATTTGGGAAAGATAGATGGGTGGTGATGGAGGTAGGTACTCTCATAAACCCTAATTCATGATGTAGTGGTGTGTGGATTTAATTGGGAAATGGAGTGTCCTAAAATTAATAATGTCATTTTTAACAATTTTATTTGAGTTTATTATTATAATAAAAAAAAATTTAATTTGAGAGGTTCAAAATAATTCAAAAAATGCTAATAGCAGTACTAATAAATAACATCACTAATTTGAAAATATTTTTTTACTCATACACTGATATGTAATTTGCTTTTTAAAAAACGAAATATTTATAAACCAAAATGACGTTTAAGTAAATAAGTGACTAATGAATAGTCTATTTTTTGGGGGTACAAATTATTCTCTGTGTCATTCTTTGAATTTTTTAATTTCATAATAAATGTTATCAAGTCAATTACTAATTGTTAATGATATTATAGATTTATTTTAATTAATAATTCATGTAATTTTTTTATTGTATAGAAAAGTAGTTAGAAATTTTATTTTTTTAATTAATTTTATTAAATAAATAATTTTGATAAAAAAATTTATAATTTTTTAAAGGGTAAATTACAAATTCACCTCCTAAGATTTGCTTAAAGTACAGATTGTCTCTGTAGTTTGAAAAATTACAAATACTCCCTTGTTAGAAAAAATTTATTTAACAGAATTAACTAAAAAAAAAATTCATAATTACTCTCCTATACAATAATAAAATTACCTAAATTATTAATTAAAACATATTTATAATATCATTAAAAACCGTTAATTGACTTGATAATTTATTAATAAAATGGACAATTTGTTATGAGATTAGAAACCTCGGGGGATGAAATGTAATTTTTAAAACCACAAAGTGCGATTTGTATTTTAATCAAATATTAGAAGATGTATTTATAATGGGTAAATTACATTGACACCTCTTGAAGTTTGGTCTAATTACTACCTGTTTCCTGACGTTTTGGAAATTACATTTTCACTCCTGTGGTTAATAGTCTTAATGCACAAACCCCCCTACTTATATAAAAGGTAACAACTTCTAGTAGAAAAGCAGAGAAAATTACATTTAAAAAAAAATAAAGGAAAGAAAAAAAAAAAGAGAAAATAAAGCAAAACAAAAAAAGAAAGAGTGCATGAATTTAATATATTCATTCCGTTTAAATAATTACAATAACAGAGGGGTTAATGTAATTTTTCAAACGTCAAAAGTGATATATATTAAACCCAAACTTCAAAAAATATGAGTGTAATTTACCCATTTATAATTTATCCATTTTTAAATCATGCGAGCTAAATCGTATTTTAAACAAATTTAAATTTCAGACGAGGTTTGTATAATTTATTTATTTATTTATTTGGAACTAATTAATGGATAGTCCACTGATTTGCATCATCCTGATGGATGCAAAGAAAGGTGGGCCCTATTCGGGCCATAGCCGGGTCAGAGTCATCTTCTTCACAAAACCAGACGGAAGATAAACCAACGGCTCTTCCAACCTCCGTTTCATTCCCCGCCCGCCTAACTCTCTCTCTCTCTCTCTAAAAAACCACTTTTTCTCCCTCTAAAAAATTGGGATCGTTAACGAATTTGAGTTGAAAATGTCGGATTGTGTTTGTTGCAGACCGATGATTTCGATAAAATCGATAGACAACAACAACAGCAGCAGCTTCGTATCGCCCAGAAGACTCTCAATTGGTGGCCAATCTATACGCCACTGCCGTGTCTTGAATTCTAGGGTTTGTGGTGTTCGAATTCGAGCTTCAATGGTGGACTCTTACGAGAGCTCCTCAAACTTCGCTAAGCGTATGGAAAAAGCTTGGTTAATCTCTCAGGTATAATATAATTGCCTTCTCTAGGGTTTTCATTTGAACTCTGTTTTCTTGTTGAAAAATCTAAAGAAAAACAAAGAAACTAAAAAGCCTAAGTAATTGGTGATTTGATTAAACAGTCGTATTATTAAACGGTTTATGAAAACAGTTTTAATCGATTCATTGATTAATTAAAAGCTGTTAAAAGAAAATTGATCGGTCAAATAAGGGTTCCTCATGGTTCATTTTACGTGATGATAATTTGTGATTGTGACTTGTTAATAACAGTAATGTTTGATTCACCGAATTTCCCTGCGCCCGAATTGTAAACCTGTTTGTGGGTAGTTTAATATTATCAGGAATTGTGGAAGAGCTTGATGTCCTGTTCTATTTCTTATTTTTCCTGTTCTTTTGAGTGGAAATTGGTTCATCCCTATTACATTACGTGGAATGAGCAGCATTTGCTACTAAAAACCAAACCAAACCAAATTAAGCTTTAAATCCCATCAAATGGAGTCGGCTACATGAATTGCTACTATTACAATAATTTCAGATTTGTAAGGAATTGCCAACCCAATATATGACCCATTGATGCATCGTAATTTTAGAAAACTTGAAGTGTTGCTAGAAAGATTTTAGATTATAGAAAGACTAGCGATAACTTGTGCCTGTAGGCACAGTTAACAATTTTTTTGGTACCACATGTGCTATGGAATTCAATTATAATAAATTAATTCAAAATGATAATATCATTCCAGTTTAAAACTTCACAACTAAAAAGTTGAATTGTTTCTACACAGTAAACTGGCAAAAATATTCATAAATTTCAAATAACAAACTTCAAAATTAAAGTCCAAATAATGAATTTTATATTTCAGTATAGTATAAGCAAAGAATAGAATCTAAAATGTTTGCTAAAATTTAAGTCCAAATAGCAAATTTTAGAATTTAATTCAGGTCAAAATGACACGTGTAATAGCAAACCTTCAATAAAATGATGTTACTGAATTAGTATCATAACTGGTAACTTTTTCACTTTATCAAATTTCAATACCTTCAAGGAAAAGTGAATGAATATTTTGGTACAAAAGAGTAATCATCCTATCTAACTAAAAAAAGTAATAATTAATCATCCAGTTTAGAATGAGAGCCAACTGACTACACGCATAAAGAGAAGCAACATAACCCAATGTTTCTAATACGGATCAACCACCTGCAACAAAATCACTCGCTTAAATCTGCTTTAAAAAACCAATAGCTATAAAGAATCGCATCAAAATACATATGAGAAATCAACAAAATGATTCTTTAAAAGCAACTCTAATTTGACAAGGAAATGAACTCATTGCAGTAATAAAAATAATTAAAAGAACAATAACAAATGCATGAATAGCTTAATATAATATTATTGAATTGGATGATTTTATGGTTTCAATTTGAACAATACCAAAAAAACACAGCAAACCCATGTTTAAGAGTGATAATTGCATGTTTCACAATTTTTTGCAATGACATTGTCACATTAACAAATAATCTTCTTTCAATTTGTTTTGTAATTAATCACCTTCTTTTAGCACAAAATTCATGTGCTTCTCTGATAGCTCTGAATATACCAACGGTACCCATCATTGGCTAAAACACATGTGAAAAATAGCATTGAGCGAAGATTCTAAACATGAATGTAAGAGACAAGTTTAAAACCTAACAATAAAATGATAACTCTTGTATAGAAGTTTCCTAGTTGAACCGAAGAGCAAATTTCAACAACAGCAAAAATATGAATTAGGCAAACCTCTCCAAACACTTTGATCTAGATAATAAATTACCACAGTGAAGCAAACATAGAACACGCATTGATGAATTCGCCATTTTTCTACATTAGGTTTTGATTATTTTTGTGTGTTTTATGCTGAGGATAGTTTTTTTTTTTTTTTGAGAAATCTTTTGTATGGGTACCTAATGAACTGAATAATGAAGGCAGAACTTTTGTGGCTAGGTGAACCGTACTGCTTGAAATTGTGTTAGACACGGATGGTCAGTGGTCACAAATTCCTGTCAACTACTGTCTTTACGCATTGGTCGCCAGTAGGGCAAAGCATCCTACATAAGCTACGGTGAAAGTAAATCAACTACAATTGTGAACACCAGTTTCTGTTTCTTTTAATTTTTCAATAGTTACAAAAAAGCCGTAGCACTGGTTGACTACTAGATTAGAGAAAATTGGAAGAGAAATTTGATCTCATGCCATAGGGAGAAATGATCACACCAATTACAGATTTCTCTATGATATTAGTTCGAAGTGTATATAGACTAGGGGAAGACAAAAACAAAAAAGGGCCATTTGAGTGAGATGATAAGTTGACTTTTGAATTACTAGAGTTATTTCTTTGATGGAGCACAATTAAATTAAAAACGAAATAAAAAGGGACTGTCAACCAAACTCTGTTGCTGATGCAAAAATATTTGTCATGATGCTTTGCTGATTTTTTTTTTTTTCACATCAAGTATTAGTTGGGAAATCCTATAGTACCAAGGGTCCGTTTGGGTAGATGTGGATTTCAAATATTACTCTTCCTTTAACAGGATCTTCTTAATGGCACTGGAAATACCTTTATGATTTTGTAGTGGTTATCTTATACTTTTTATGGTCTCCTTTTTTCCCTCCTAATATCTCGCACGTCCCTGATGCATGCAGCAACCAAGGCCCATTGCTTGCTCTTCTTGTGATTCAAACGGGCATGTTGAATGCAAATGGTGTGGTGGTACAGGTTTCTTTATTCTTGGCGACAACATGCTTTGCCAAGTACCATCCAGAAACAGCAGTTGTGTTATTTGTGCTGGGAAGGTAAGTTAAAATAGCTAAATCAAGCTCTCTTCTTTTTTTTACTTGCATCATGAAGGCAAATATTATTGACATGTCCCCATATTCTACTCTGGTGATGTTTCTCCCAGGGATCAACATGCTGTGCTGATTGTAAGGGAACGGGCTTTCGTGCAAAGTGGTTGGGGGAGCCTCCTATTTCTAAGTAGTAGTGCTAATGCTTTTTGTTTTTGAGACCATTAAAAGGCTTCTTTTACCATTCTGAATTTCTTTATTTCATTTATGGAATCCAGTTTTGTGGTCAAGTCTATAAATTCCACACTACCAATTGCACCATGTATTCATGAATGCATGACCTAATGTTGTACTTTTTTCACATCTGTGAAGTAAAATGAAATTTCAGTTACAAGCATACAACTTACTGGATTTTGTTGAAGTCAAAAGGTATTGAAACCTTAAAAACTATGATACTGAGCAATGCTGTGCCAAATAATATGCACTAGACAACAATTGAAAGGCTATGGTACTTTGTGATTGGAAAGGTGTTTTTTTTTTTTTTTGGTCATCACTGAAGAGAATGTGTTTTACATGTTAGGAAATACATGTATGTTTTTAACATGTGGTTGAAGAGAGGAAGTTTTCTGGTTTCTGCTGCAATCTACTTATGGAAAATATTCATCGAAAGAATTTTTGTAAAGAATGCCTACTTCTGTTAGGTTGCATTTGGCTTAACTGAATTTCCATTTTCAGTTCTAGAGAGGCCAAGAAACTGACCATACCAAGAAAAAGAATATGTGATCTAGATTCATTTCAAGCATAGAATACAACTGTTGATTTTGGACTATACATTTTTTTTTTTTAATATATATATTGATTTCTTGATTTCTAGCATTTCTATTTTCCATTTTTGGGGGCCTGGCCTACTGTGAAGTGGCGGACGTTGATGCACTTGCCTTGAGGAGTCAATGATCATCCTATGCCTCCAATACTTTGAGGGCATTTTTTTTTTTTTTTTTTTTTGTGGCAAATGTAAGAACTTCATTCATAATAACAAGACAAAGTACAATAGAGTCTTGGAACAAATAACATACTCGACAGAAAATAAGGCAAAATAAACAAAGCCTAGAAAACCACACAACCGCTCAAGGGAACGAAGGTCAAGCGGCAAGTCATCCACAAGCAAAGGGCTACAAAACACCTGCACAAGAACTAGTAAAAACAGAAGACCATACCTGGACGATGTCATATCAAAAAATGCAGAGGTTACTAATGAAAAAGAGTCCGTCTCAGTGGGACTCGAAAAAGGCTTGGGTCAATATAGCCATCTTTTATGTGATGCTCAAGTTTCTGCTTTGTGTGATCTATTGAAAAAGGCTTGCGTGATCTTCCCTTCAAGCTAGATGGTAATGCTTGAATTTGCTTAGAACCACCCCACGATAGGACTCCACTTGTTTCCCGACCATATTTGATGACACTCCAACTTGAACAAAGTTACTTTGGGAATGTTGAAATGTTTTGGAGACATCATTTGAAAGTTTGAGAGCTTATTCCGGAGATGTTCTCAGCTACAATGTTGGCTGGGTTGTGGGGCGCAAAAGTAGGACTTGTCTCTAAGTTAGATTTGTGAATGTCCTCGCTAGGATTACCCGAGCACGTATGGCACTGAATATCAAATTGGTCAATCTGTGTATCAGCTAGATTTCTCTTGAACCTTAACCAATGACATGCTTGGTCAATGAAAAAACTCAATTCTCTACCAACTCTTAGATCCTCTCGGATCCTATAATCAATGAGTAGAAAGTTGCGTCCCACAATCACTTGTTTCTTCCTCTTGATGCTTTGAAGTTAGGCTTGTTCCAAGTTCCTGACCCTGGCCAACTACCACCACTATGGGATGCATCATTACCCCTATCATCCTTCGATGATCTTCTTTTACCTGATATAGAACTAAGGAGAAAACATTTTTTCAACATTAATGCAACAGAGAAGAGATGACACTAGAAAATAAACAAGAGAAGAGATGATACTAGAAACACAGAACTACGCAAAACACCACAGCACAAGCATTAAAGATAACTGAACTACGCAAAACACCACAGCACAAGCATTAAAGATAACTGAACTACGCAAAACACCACAGCACAAGCATTAAAGATAACTGAACTACGCAAAACACCACAGCACAAGCATTAAAGATAACTGAACTACGCAAAACACCACAGCACAAGCATTAAAGATAACTGAACTACGCAAAACACCACAGCACAAGCATTAAAGATAACTGAACTACGCAAAACACCACAGCACAAGCATTAAAGATAACTGAACTACGCAAAACACCACAGCACAAGCATTAAAGATAACTGAACTACGCAAAACACCACAGCACAAGCATTAAAGATAACTGAACTACGCAAAACACCACAGCACAAGCATTAAAGATAACTGAACTACGCAAAACACCACAGCACAAGCATTAAAGATAACTGAACTACGCAAAACACCACAGCACAAGCATTAAAGATAACTGAACTACGCAAAACACCACAGCACAAGCATTAAAGATAACTGAACTACGCAAAACACCACAGCACAAGCATTAAAGATAACTGAACTACGCAAAACACCACAGCACAAGCATTAAAGATAACTGAACTACGCAAAACACCACAGCACAAGCATTAAAGATAACTGAACTACGCAAAACACCACAGCACAAGCATTAAAGATAACTGAACTACGCAAAACACCACAGCACAAGCATTAAAGATAACTGAACTACGCAAAACACCACAGCACAAGCATTAAAGATAACTGAACTACGCAAAACACCACAGCACAAGCATTAAAGATAACTGAACTACGCAAAACACCACAGCACAAGCATTAAAGATAACTGAACTACGCAAAACACCACAGCACAAGCATTAAAGATAACTGAACTACGCAAAACACCACAGCACAAGCATTAAAGATAACTAGTAAGCTTTAAATAGGACACAAGCAATAAGGTTCAAGGATACCGAAATAAGGTAATAGACTAAAAAGAGGCTAAGGTCTTGTTTGGGAATAGGCTAATTTAGTAACTTTTTAGCTATTTGGCTAAAATATGAGCTAAAAAAAACTAATATATTTGAGATGACTTTTTGGCTTTTTACGAAAAGATGTGCAAAAAGTAGAGAGAAAAGAGAATCTTTGACTTTTTGGTATGGGTTGTTGGTTTTTTGGCTTTTTTAGTAACTTTTTGACTTTTTGGCTAAATGGGAGGGTTTCCAAACGGGGCCTAAATCTATAAGTTGGTCTTTTTAAGCTAGACCAAACACCCCCTTAGGCATGGACTCCATGTTTGGAACTTTTTTTTTTTTTTTTTTTTTTTTTTTTTTTTTCTACTC